AAACAGATTTGAAGGCTGAGTGAAAGTCCTTCACTGCTCTTGAATTGGTCATGCCACCTCTCCTCGCTTTGAAAATTCTAAAACTGAGATCAATTTCTATAGCATTTAATGCCATTACCTAGTGTGTGACCAACCAAATGCATGACAGGCAATCTTCTGCATACAAAATAATTTTTGTTTGAAGTATGCACCTAGAATCATTTTAAAGCATTAGAAGCAATGATTTATGATTCAAATTTATGTTAAATGCAACTGCTTATACTACCCCAATGTTAATAACTCAGCTGAGGTAGCAATCCAGTGAACATATATGTACATAAATTTTGATTCCTATTTCTGATTACTATGGTACATTTGATAAGCTAAACTCAAAATATTGAGATCAATATTTTGTTTTATCTTAAACGTCTTTGATTATTAGTGAGTTCCAATATGTTTTATACTTATTGGCCATTTGCATTTTTTTTTGAGACAGAGTCTCACTCTGTTGCCCAGGCTGAGTGCAGTGGTCGTGCAGTGGCACGACCTTGGCTCACTGCAACCTCTGCCTCCCAGGTTTAAACGATTCTCTTGCCTCAGCCTCCCGAGTAGCTGGGACCACAGGCGCGTGCCACCATGCCTGGCTAATTTTTTGTATTTTTAGTAGAGGAGGGGTTTCACCATGTTGACCAGGCTGGTCTCGAACTCCTGACCTCAAGTGATCCACCCACCTTGGCATCCCAAAGTGCTGGTATTATAGTCATGAGCCAACATGCGCAGCCTGGCCATTTGCAATTTTTTCTCCCATGAATTGCCCTGGAAATCCCTTCTGTTCATTTTTCCTTATCATTTTTGTTTCTAATGTGTAAATAGTCATATGTTATGGAAAATAGCCTTTCCTTATCACATTAAGGTAAATATTTTTCTAATATCTTAATCGACTTTTAAACTTATGTTTGTGTATGCATACAAAATATCTATATTCATGAAATCAAATGAATCCATTGTTTTCATTAGGATTTATTTCAATGATTTTATACTTGGAAAGTTCTTTCTCCATCCTGAAGTTAGATTAAAATATAAAGAATATATTTTAAATATATTTAATATAAAAAAATACATTTGCTTGAAAAATATATTTTTGTTTATAGTTTTATATTTTATATATCTCTTGATCTGCCTGGAATTTAATGTGTTATGTAAAGCTCTGTTTTTACTTATAGGAAATAATTTATGTAGTTCATCCACCTATGAGTAATTTATCATACTTTGCTTATTTATTATATTAGGTTATATGACATTTCTGGATTCTCCTTCTGCCCAATACATCTGTATGTCTTTTCTTATATCAATAGTATGTAAATTTAATTGTTGTAGAATATCAGTTTGCACTGCATTCAACTTTAATAGAAATCTCTACTACGAAGAAGGCATTTTTTTTTCACTTTATAAAAGTCAAGGGGCAAGTAGCCCAGAGTTGATTCAGCTGCTCAAGATAACGTCAGAAACTGATGATTCTGCCTACTTCTCATGCGTTCAAGACTCACTGGAATTCACAGCATCAGCTCTGTGGCTTTCCTGCTCCCCAATGGCAGCTCCTGGGGCTTCTCACCCTCCATATTGCATGATCCAATTTCTTATTATATATATATATACATATATTTAAACATATGAATGTGTGTATTAATATTTATACTGGTTCTGTTTTTCTGAAGAAGTCTACTTAATATAAATATAAGTGAATACCTTTCATAGTAAATAACTTCCCTTGCCTCCCCTGTTCACCCTTACTGAGCCTTATTATCTGAGATAATAAACACCCTACTAACTTTAAAATGTAGACAAACCCTTCAAATTTAAAACAAGTTATGTGAAACCAATTATGTGAGTATTTAAAACAACTGCTATATCTACCTCTACATCTTTACCTGGTTTCAAATTTCTCTGCTAATCCTTTCTAGTCACTTTTGTTTTTCATTCTCAGGCTCTTTCTTCGTTCTTTAAATTTGTTTTTTTTTTTTTTTTTTTTTTTTTTTTTTTTTTTTTTTTTTTTTTT